AATAAAATAAAAAATAAAAAAAATAGCTTGTGAGCCCCAGAAAACCAGGCGGCTTGTTTGAATTTGGGTTGTGGTTTGGTGACCCCTTGTTCGGGGGGGGTCATTTGAGAGATCACAGGACTGTCGGGTGCACCCAGGAGCTGGCGCCCGGTAATCGGAGGCTCCTCATCCCCTCCCCTGTCCTTGGAATGTGCACCGTGCCCACCATTCCCGCACTAGGAGCCATTTCAAGGAAGCAAACTCCAGTTAGTGAGTAGGTAGTAGGTCTCCAGGTTTCCACACAGCAGGTCTCCAGGTTGCCCACAACTTCTGTGTGAGGTGGCTGTGTTACCAGCTGAACCAAGGAGACCCCGGGCCCTGGGGCCTCGACCCAGCCAGACCCAAAGGAGTCACCGAAGGTTCTTGGTCTTGTCACGAGAATGAACTCGAGGACAGACCCACAGCTCAGTGGATGACTAACACAAGTGGGAAAGTTTATTAAAGTGCAAAGCACACTCGAGATACGAGAGCAGCGAGCTCTAGAGAGGGAGAGAGAGAGAGTGCGCAAGAGAGAGGCCTGTCGTGAGGGTCGGGTTTCTATCCTTTACTGACAGCTGTCAACTCAGGGGTGAAATAGTCATGACTTGGCGAGGCAAGCAGGGTTTTGTGATTTTTCTTCCTAATTTGGCCAGGAGTTTCCTGTCATGGCATCCGCCATCTTGGGCCTGGCTGGTTTGATCTGGCTTCTTGTGGCGTGCTGCCGGGACAGGGCTCTGACCTTCCCGATAGCTGGCCATGACCTCCTCGTTGCTGGCCTCCAGGCATCCTGTCAGAACCTAACCAACTGTCCAACAGCTACAAATCTGAGGTTCTCACAACCTCTTCCTCAGGTTTGGTCAATTTGCTTGAGCAGCTCACAGAACTTAGGGAAACACTTTTAACAGTTTATGAGAAGATACAATGAAAGATACAGATGAAGAGCTGGATGAATAGCTAGATGAAGAGATACATAGGACAAGGTCTGGGAGGGTCCCCAGTGCAGGAGCTTCTGTCCCTGTGGAGTTGGGGTGTGTCACCCTCCTGATGTGGGTGTGTTCACCAACCTGAAAGCTCCTAAGCCCTATACTATTGGGTTTTATGGAGGCTTCGTCACACAGGCATGATCAATTATTTACTCCATTTTCAGCCCCTTCCTCTTCTCTGGAGGATGGGGGTGGGGCTAGAGAATCATGGCTTGGTTTTTCTGGTAACCAGTCCCCATCCAGGAGCCAACCAGGAGCCCACCCAGAGTCGCTTCAATGGAACAAAAGATGCTCCTAGTACTTTTACCACATAGGAATTTACTAAGGTTTTGGGAACTCTGTGCCAGGAACTCAGAGCAGAGACCAATATATATTTTGATGTCAATGGTTTCCTTTCTCTTAGAATCTCGGTCTTGTGCTACCTGTTGTCCAATGTCTGGAAGCCTTCGCTTCATTGTTTTGGTTGGTTTTCTAATTATTTAAGACAGGAGGGTTTATCTCCTCCCATCAGACCTGGAAGCAAAAGTCCAGCTTATTTTTATTGGTGAGTGATGTTCCATTGAATGATATGTATTGAACCTTTCACCTCTGCCTAGACAATTGAATTGTTTCCGGTTTTGGGCTATTATGAATGAAACTGTACAAGTGTTTGTGTGGACGTAAGTTTTAATTTCTCTTGGATAAATACCCAGGGGTGGAATTTGTGGATCATAGAGTATTGCATATTTAACTGTATAAGACACTGCCGAACAGTTTTCCAAAGAGGCTCTTCTTGCTCCACATCATCATCAATACTTGGTATTGGGCGCCTGGGTGGCTCAGTTGGTTAAGTGACTGCCTTCAGCTCAGGTCATGATCCCAGGGTCCTGGGATCGAGTCCCACATCGGGCTCCC